TCGAATCGACGTTTCTCGTGAATGTTTCAAAGTTCGCTCCGCTCCGGCTGGTAACGATGGGTGCAACGACGAAACGAAATACCGTACGCGAACGGGAGCGCGCAACGATAATAATTAATGCTCCAAGTTTCTGGCGTCGAATCGCGCGTCAGGATCTCGAGACGTCCTAAATTAAACTCGTCTACTTTCGCCGCCTCCCGGAGGAACCACCCCTGGATCTCGCCCTCTCTTCTCCACCCCTTATCGGGAATTCGTCCGCGAAGGTTCGAATTATGGATCGACGAACGGTCAGGAATTTCTCTTTCACCGGTATTCCTTTTTCTCCGAACGATTACCCCAACTTGCCGACGCTCTCGAAAGCGGATTAACGCGATTTCCGCGACGTTTCGAGATTGCTTCGCGTTAACGCGATTATTTAACGCTGAAACTCGAACAAGGGCGGTACGCGGGACGACCAAGTTCCCGGCGAGTTAAAACGACTTAATTTAAACTCGCCAACGACGAGAGGTATCGAGCACGGAAACGATCCACTCGAGCGACATTTTTCGACCTCCGCGATTCCTCCGGAACGCGCGTCCCCGGTATCTTAGGACTCGGCTTGGTCGGAGTTATCGTTGACATTGTTTCCGTGCCCCGTGCGTCATCCTGCCCGCGAGAGCTCGGCTGATTCACCGTCTTATCGTCGAAAACCGATACGAGCAATTTGCTCTGGCCGTTTCGCGTTTAATCGCGATTCCGCTCGTAAACGGAACGCGCGCGGCACCCCCTTGTCTCGGCGAAATACGACGAACCAAGTCTGCCGGCCATAAATACGAGCCAGGGCGACATTCGTTCCGGGAAAATGGCGAACGCGGTGAATTCGGTGGGTAGGGCGCCTAGGTTATGAAATTTCGCGCGACGCCGTTCGCGAAATCTCACCCCCTCGCGCCGCGTGTCCGCTCGTTTCGTATCGCGACCACCGTTCTTTCCCCCGGGCCGTCGTTCCGACCCCGTCACACCGCGAATATATTTCCGCGGGTGCCGCACACACCGACGCGCGCGTAGGCTCGTCGGATTTTCGTAATGAAATTACCGCGCGTGTCAGCTGCGCGAAGACACGGTTTTACGCGCGCGTTTTCGGTCGCGGCCAACGCTGTCCGCCGAAAGTCCTCCATCGGTCCCAGCGGCCTCCGCCGCTGTCGCAGCGACCACTCCTCGCAACTTTTTACCCCGCGGCGCTTTTTTCCGCGAGATTGTTCGGGTTACGCCGGGTAAACCCGAACGACATCGTTCGTCGTGATTTTAATTCATACCCGCTAACGTAATCAACCTCCGCCAACTTTCTCCAGTACTTTTCTCAACCACCGTCCTGCTTCGAATTTTTTCCACCCGCGTAATCCTCTTATCACCACGGCGCAGTGGTTTATAGCGACGCTTAATTAACGCGATAATTACGCACCCGGCCTCCTCCGCGAGTGCTGTATCGGTATTATTTATTCGTCGTTGCTCTCGAATCGCGTCCCTCTCCGTCAAAATTAGCCTGCGACGCAGGAGTCACCGCGAGCTCCGGTGTATTCGCGTTTATTAGCGGAGCTCGTGTCGCCGCTGCGCGATTTTTTCGGCACCGGCTGGCTCTGCACGCACAATTTCATTAGGGACGACGTCCACTTTCCTGTTTTCGGCGCATCGCTTCTAATTCCCGGCTCCGGCGGAATTTCCAGCCGCGAGAGTCCAGCCTCGGACGCGCCATCGTTGTCCTAGACTATTTCGAGAGACACGCCGTCTCTGGTGACTCCCCGTCGCGGACACAGCCGGTGAGATTTATCGCGCGAAATCGCGCGACGAGCTTCCAATTAACCCTCGAATAAATTCTTGCTCCAGCCTCGCTGTGCTCTTCGACTACGCTCTGTTCTTCCCCGTACACGATGGACCACTCGGGTACATTGTTCTTTATCACGGCCCTAGACTCTGCTCGTCCTCCACGTGGACGTTCAAATTTTGCCTCCGGATTAATATCTCGTTCCTCTCACTTACCATCTGTTGCACCGTGTTTTCAAGCGCGTGTTACTCCGTGCTATACGAAGGACTTTGTTCGTCGCGCAAAGAAGTCTAGGAATCTTTAGGAGTACCCTAGGGATACTCTAGGAATCTTTTGGAAGAAGATCGGTAGATCCGAGAGTAAATGAATAAAAAATTTCCGTCGCCACGAATTTCGTCGAGTTTCGTGGAGCATCTCGCGCGAGGAAGTCCCGGGGATAAGGGTGTTTGGTTGCTTTCACGCCGCTGGATATCAGACGGTGTTTTTCCATTCGCGGAAAGCCGGAATCCCATCGGGCCTCGTGGGCCGAGGAATATTTAACGCGGAAGACGCGGTTTCCTGTTCGCCTGGAAAATACCGATAGGCTTCGCGAGACGGCATTGTGCCGGTCTGCGCCATTCAATCCCCCCGTCTACCGCCACCCCCTATCTACCCTTTGTACACCTTGATCCGTGGCTGCTTCTTGCTCGCGCGAAAAACCCGTCGAGGACGCGTCGGCACGGTACGTCTTCCGGGACATTCGGTTCCCTGGCAATTTCCAGGGGATACCGCTTCGTCGGTCGCGCGATCTCTGTCTCGCGAGAAATACGGCGAGTCTACGCCGAAATTATCCGAAAATCCCGCGACGTGACCGTACTTTGGTATCGGAGACGAAACTCCGACGATGGAGTTTCGACGCTTAAGGAAACGCGATCGGTATCGCGGCGTGACAGGGGATGCCGGAGGAGCTGAGAAGCGGAGGAGGGATTGTATCGGGGAGAATTAAATAAAAATCACGCGAACTGGAGATTCGGTGAACGCGGAGCCGAGCCAGAAACGAGATGAGCGCTTCACGGCGTTCGCTTGGCTGCTCGTCCGCATTCTGCTCTGCATATGAATGAGAGGAGAACGCGGAGGGTCGGAACGGGGCAGGGGGGTTGGCGGAGAAACGGAGAAGCACCGGGGGTTCCAACGTCGCCGACAACGTCGAGCTGGAATATCGGCCGAGCCAAGAAACGGAACGGAAGGAACGCTGCATTTATTAAACTGAGCGCGGACGTGTTCCTCCTTTCCTTCCTCGACTTCGTCCACCTACGTGGCGCGAGCGCCCCTTCCTTTCTTCCACCCCTTTCCTCGCGCACTTCTTCGCCCCCGGTTCTACCTCTGGTCTACTTCGCCACGTGCGAAATGGCGGCTCGATACGCCTCTTCCTCGTCATCGATGCCTTCTTCCCTCCCTCGATCTCGGGGAGTGCGTCTTCCACCCCTCAGAACATGTCCCATCTTTCGAGTAAAAGTCGTTGAAAGACGTCGAGTCGTTTGCTCGCTGTCTCGAACTTTGCCTGTACAATCGCGGTGCCCTGTCCCGCGTTCGAGTTCCTTCGAGAAGGGTGTTTCCTCGGAGCTTCCCTAGGCCCGGGACCAATCGGGCTAAACGTTCGCGCGATTATACCGCTGGAAAGTTGGAGGAGGTCGGCGAGGAAGTTAATAGACGGGCTGTTTTGCCAGGCACTAATGGAGTATCCTGCTCGAGACTCCTTTTTGTCAGCCGGCTCCACTCGTCGGCTCGGGCAGGCCATCATCGAGCAAGCGTTCCTCGAAGATGCATACGTATCACGGATCTCGGAATCGCGGGAACCGCTGCCGGTGTTCACTCGGGCAAGAACAGTGCCATTATACCAGAACCGCAAGACCCCACCAGTGGACTGGACGCGCGTGGAAAAAGCCGAGACTCATGGTTCGAGCCGTCTCACCGTGGTGCCACCCACGGAGCCTCGGACAGGCCCCTGGCTGCAGCGTGTGCCGCGCGCACCGATTAAAGAAAGTCTCGGGGTACGCGAAGGGCGGAATCGATCAGCGAAATCACGCGTCGGATGACGAATAGAGGCGGCGTCGTATCGGCGAATCGCCTATTCCGTCCCGATGATATACGCCGCGTATCCTCGGCTAGAACGTCGCGGCGTCGGCGCTTGCGGAGAGGCCGAAACAATTAATCAAGGGAGTACAATCGTGTGTGCTTGGCGGGGGGGGGGCGGGAGGGGCGTCAGCGAGCAGACGAACCGTTGGCGTGACTGATTCATTATGAGACTGTAATTAAGTCCCGGTATTAGCATACCGACTAGATGGAGACCGTTGCACAGCCGGCTGGCAGCGACTGGAACGACTTGACCCAAAGGTGCGTCCTATGCTAACGAGGCCCCCTCTTCCGCGTCTCTGTGCGTGCGTAGCTGTATGCGACGCGCGGAAAAAAGCCACGCGTTTACCCCCGTACGAGCTGCACCGGTCAGAAGCTCCTTCTCTCCCTCTTCCTCCCTGATCTCTGGTCACCGGCCATTAGGAACGGCTACCAGACGCGTATCTCTTAATTAGCCGGCGAAATCCACTCTACTGCCGCCGTGGGGAGCCTGGCCCGTTATCAATTTAACCCCCAGCCGCGAACTTTCTCGGTCAACCGGCATTTTTTCCTCCAGCCTCGAGTCTCCAGCCAGTCTCATCCTCCGCAAGCTCCTTGCCTCGCGTGCACCACCGCCATGGCCACCGCCTGTTTTCCCTCGACGATACCCGTTGCTAACGAGTTTATCCGACCGACGGCCCCTCGTCGTTGCTTCCGTTGCGTCGCTCCTCTTTTACTTTTTCTTCCTCCCCCGTCGTTGCTTCTCGCCTCTGCGAGCGAGGACGTTCGGCTCGCGCCTTACTCGCGGTTCCAGCGAGCGTAACGAGATTTCCGCGACGCTCGCGTCGATCTTCCGGCGTTTCTCGTCGTCCGGGAGAGGGTAACTCGCTTTCGAGGAGGGAAACGGTCGAATAACTCTGCTGGACCGAACGGGGCGGGCGGAGGAAAAAAAATCAATGCCGCGCGAGTTGGAAGCGACTCGCGCGCGAGAGGGAGCGGAGGAGAATAAATTGCGCGAGGGCCGCAGGGAGGAGATAAAGCTTCTCCCACGTGCCGATTAATAGTTCTGTCAATAAGATTAATCGAGCGTTGATTTTCCTGTGGTTTTCAGCACGCTGAGGTGGAGGATGGAGGAGCTGGAAACGCTGGAGAGCACGGAGTGCCCCGAGTACCCCGGGCCACCCCCCGAGTTCCGGTTGCCGCCACCGCCTCGGCCACCCTTCCTCACCGACGGCACCTTTTGCTCGGAGGAGCCCCTCACCGAGATCGAAGATTGCGTCGCCATTCCGGTAAGTTCCAGTCCTCTGTTACCATGCTTTCGCCACCCATTGTCGCCATCTTGCTTTACTTTACTTTCCTTTCATTTTTGCGTCCACCTTCGTCCCGTGTTCTTCGCTTTCCGACGACGTTCGCGGACTAGTATCGGCTTCCGAGACATCCTCGATACCGTAATCCGCGTGTCGGGATTGCTCGAATTTTTCCATTTTAACGGTATCCCGCGATGGTCCGCCGGAAAAGTCGAAATTCTCGTATTCTTCTGTTCGAAAAGCCATAACCCGTGGCGTACGAACTAACCTACACGCTGGAATCGGAGGTTCGATGAGTCCAGCGGAATAGAAACCCGTGAATAGGTCGGCCGTAATGGCGGAACAGGTGGCAGAAAAGAACCGGTCGAAGAAAGAGCGACGCGCTTCGATTCATATCGAAAGGACGGGATTTTAAGGCGGGATAAATTCCGGAACTCCTTATCCGACGCCAGCAAATTGAATCGGGAACGAGGGGACAAAAACGTCCTTCCTCTCGCTCCTTCTCTCGCTGTCGCGTTACTTTTTCTCGCGAAGAATGCTTTCTCGACAAAGTATCGCCCTCGTCTCCGCGGATTGGAATTTTCGAGAAAGAGAAACCGGGCTGAATTTCGTTCCTCGAAATAACCCGCGCGACTCTTAACTTTGTCCGCTATAAACAACCAACGTTTGACAGAAATCTCTCAGTACCAATTTTATTCTCATTATCGAATTTCGCGATCGAATTTCTACCCGTTCCGATCTCGGAAGCGTAGCAAGCATTACATGGTATTTTAAGGGTGCCCATATCGCAGGATCGAACAAACTGTGATTTTAGACGCTCGTTAAAATTTCCCAACTTCGGGGTACGTCCACGTCGGAATTGCCCCTATCGCGGTAGCGCATTCGCCGGCAATAAGCGTATGGAAAGGGTTAATGGTGATCTAGGATCACGTATAGACGCGCGAACTTTTTCTCAGGTACGAAGCGATTCCAAAGACGGTGGAAAGAATTCCAATTAAACTAGTTCGACCGATATTCCCCGGCTGGTGCGTCGTGCAGGGGGCGGCGGGTGCAGCGTGCCGTAACTTTGGCGTAAGTCGCGACGCGCGTCGCGGCGACGAGCCTTTAAAATTCTCCGTGGATTCCGCGGACATCGAAAGGCTTCATTTTCCGCGATAAATCTCGGCCACGGACTCGATTAATCCTCGACGTCCGCGGAGACGAGATGGCGGAAGCAATTCCGACCAATCGCGCGCACCCTGCCTGGTGTGTGGACTTGGCGACTGGTCGCGAAAATATCGCAAAGTTTCGCGATCTCCCGTAATCCCCGCGTGCTCTAAAATCTGGTTCGCGCGAGGGGTAGTGGAGGATTAGTGCACGCGCTCGCTCTGCGGGCTTTATCGCCGAGCAAATCGGTCCCGGACAGGCGTCACGGAACGCTGCAAAAAGAGAGCACGCGAAGGAGTCGGGAACGGAAAGGGGGTGGAGAGAGAGAGAGAGAAAGAGAGAGGAGAGGAGAGAGGGATGATCGGGACGGATGTTAAAAGCGAGAGCAGTCGGCGAGAGTAATCGCTTCGGGTCACGGCGCTGTAGCTGCTGATCGAGAGGTCGGGCCTGGTTGCTCGTGTCCCAACGGAAGGGGGACGAGGAAACGACGCCCTGTTTCTGTTATTGTCTTTAGCGGCCCGTTAAAAACCGTATTTACCCCTGACAGGCGCCATCGGTCTGCCAGCGCCTCCTCTTTTTCATCGTCCTCTCCGTCGGCTCCCGTTCTGCTTCTTTTCCCTCTCGCGGGGACCGGTGGCCGGATAAAAACGGCGCGGGCCTATTAATAGAGAACACGTGTCCCGGCAGCGTCGTGAACCCGGGGACCCATTATCGCCCGGCGATTTTACATCATTACGCGTAATTGGAGAATCTGCCGGCCGCTCGGTGCCTCGAGATTTATCGTCCGTTTCGTTTCGATTAAACGACCGGGAATTTCGTGAGAATTTTCAGAGGGAAAAACCGGCGACGTCGATGAACGAACGAGACGACGGGGTGAGGCGAGGCGGAGCGGGGCGGGTTGGAGGAGAGATCGCTTTAATCGCGTATCGCGTAGCCCGTAAAATTCGCGTTATTTACAACGGGCGAGCGGGGCCGTTGGTAATTTCTAATTTCGCGCCGGCCGAGTCCCGCTAAATCGCTTTAATATCGAGCAGTGTCTTGCAGCGAGCGAGAGTTTAATCTAAAATAATTATTTAGCGCGGCAGGTAGCACGCGACCGACCATCGGGTTAAGCCACAGAAGCTCGAGCGAGAGACAGAGGCGCGCGGCACCCTCTCGCAGACGGCGCGCACACGGGGTTGCGAACGTTTCACGGTGCACATGCAAATCCCGCGAGTTTCGAAGGAAAGCTCCGCTCTGGTTTTTGCGCCCTCTCGTCTGGCTTTACGGAGTGTTAAACGCATCGGGCGTCCTTAATTGAATTCTCTCGCTCCTCGCTATCCCCTCTTGCACCCCCGGTTGCCAGCCGAGCTGTAACTGCCGAAATTGCAGTAAACATTTTCTCTGTCCTCCGGTGCTCCTTGACCGAGCTCCTCCGGGTTTCACGGCGTGGAAATTGGGACGGCGAAAACTCCTTGTCTCCCATTTCGTCGTCGTCGTCGTCTGTGTATCTTGCCGTTTCGTTTCCACTCACCCCCCCCCGGAGGCGTTCGATCTGCGGGCCTGCTCTCGGAGAGGCGTTGCCTCTTCAACCCTCGGTCTTTAGCTACCAACGATCCGTCGATTTGTCCCGAGAATTATGCTCCACGATTCTCCCCCTCTCGACGATTCTTCGTTCTGCCACACGGTCGATACCCGCGCGCGAAATTACATCTTCCTTCCCGTAAACGTCGCGGGATATATACGTAACACGCGGCCACGCTTGGGGGAAACTTCGGAGGAACTCGATTCGGGAGGAAAGAAGCTCGGCAATGAGAGAGGAGAATCGTATCGCGAGCGTGGTAAAAACCGTGGAAGGATTAAAAAGCCGGGGACGAAGGCGGAGCGAGAGCCGGATGATAGTAATTAAAAAGCAGCCGGCGAACAGAGTCCTCGTGAGTCGCCTCGAATTTATTAGACGGGGATACAGTCGCGTGGTATTTATTAAGCCTCCGGACCGTTTACTCGGCACACCCTGTTTCGCAACTTCCTCGACAGTCGTCTCCCCGTTCCGCCTAATCGCGATGGTTCACGGCCAGCGCTAATTCCTTTCTCCGGGGTTAATTTCTTCGCCGATATTTATCGGCCGCAGCGCCGTCGCGTCCTCGGGGGTGGCCAGTAACCCCCGGCTAGCCCTCGGGCCCCTGCCCCTGCCTCGCCATCGCGAAACTTTAGATTAAGTCGCCGGTATAATGCGACGAGAGCGACCAATTGGACGAGCTCGGATTTGAATTATGACTCGCGCGAAATTGCAGCCGCCGTCTGGCCGCGGGGGGGGGGAATCGTTGGAGGGTGCACCATACGCGCGGACCAGCGGAGAAAGTCGAAACGGGCGTGAAACCGAGGACGGCAAAAGGAGCAGAGACGACCGGAGGTCGCGACGAAATCGGATTTCGACGAGCTCGCTTCCCTTTCGGTAACCTTCGATCGACGAACCAGAGGGTTGGCGGCCGAGGTGGGGCGGAAAGGGGTGGGCGAGGACTGGAAGAAGTCCTGGGTGATAGCGTTTTTGCGTCGAGCGAGTCTCTTTATTACGCCTGGGAATCCGCTTTGTTTCTCGGCGTCTCGGCGAGGGGTTGCGAGGCAGGGACGAAACGGCGGCGGAGAACAGCAGCGCGGAGGCGGAAAAGCGAGAAAAAGGACGCGAAGAAAGATGAGCAGAGGGAAAAGAATGCCGCGCGTTCCCCTAGGCAGAAGTTTGCGCGGCGGCGAAGTACGCCGAGAGAACTAAAAAGTGAACCGGCCTGGAAAATGGGAAGAAAAGGGGTAGTTATTGCCGGTCTCGCGGCGGAGGCGGGCCATCCTCCGGCTGCCGGTGTATCGTTGCAGCAGCTACCGGTTAATTACAGCACGAGTGGAATTGGTTTCGTTTATCGGGCAGAGCTCGATGGAACGTATCGTCATTTCGAGCGTCCAGATAGCAAATCGATGCCAGACGTCGACGTCCTCCTCCTGGATATCGACAGAGCACCCTCGTCCGGATTATCTCCAAACGATTGTGTCTCTTCTCTTTCGTCGATAGTCCGGATTTCCTGCCAGTCCGTCCGGGGACCCGTGTCCGGGGCCGGTTTGCCTATTGCAATAACCGATGCACGCCGACCGAGCCTCTACCACGATAATTCCGCGATTATTTATCGAATTTATTCCCGCCGGGGCTGGACAGCTCTCCTCTTTGCTCCCCGAAGATATAATCCACCTCCTCGAACCCTTCCCGACGTTCCACGTTTCGTTACCCCGACGCGGAAGGGCCACTCGCGAAAATGGACATCGAAGAGTCCCCGCGTTACGCGAGGTCCTTTGATCTCGCCCGAGATCCACGGCCCTTCTCCCTTCTGGACCCGCGGAGTCCCGGTCCGAAGATCTCATCGCGCGGCTGACAGTTGCGCGCTTTGTTTCCGCGTAACAACGAACTCCGCCCGTACCTCCGCGCGTGTTGCGGCATTTTTCCGCTTCGTCTGCGACCCGACGTACCGTCGCGGCCGGAAATCCCTTAACGCGCGCTCAACGTGTACCTCTTTCGCGTGCACGCTCTATCGAGACGTCGGGACCAAACGCTGCGCAAAGAGCGGCTCTCTGCTCGACGAGGTTTTTTCGAAGCCGAGCGGAAGAGGACCGTAAATCGCCGGCAACTGGACAGGGTGACTCTGTTCCACGTTGGCCGGCGTACAACCGGCAATTTAGATTCCCAGTGACGTATTCTCCTCGCGAAATCGATGTTTCGAAAGGAACACGGCTGTTCGAGTTATTTAGCGTCGGCGAGTTCCGGTGAAAGTGGACTCGGTTATTAAACGGTTGTTAAAGGAAACACACTCGAGACT